CATACTTTGAGAACCACCGGACTAGCCTATGTATATCTGAAGCTACATACCACGTGTTATTATCAGGGTAACAAGGGGCTAAGTTAGGTGACCAGTGAGGACAAGGACCCTCGGTGGGGGTGGATCTAGGACTAGGGCAGAGAATGTTGACACAGGCACGGCCTCGCTGAAACCCGCGCTGCAATCCAGCGAGGGGGGTAAGAAGCAGTGTGCCTCGCCGGAGGCCCTACAAATCGCACCTAGAACATGAGCAACTCCTCACTCCTGCCTGAACCCGCTTCCCGGAGCTGCCACAACAAAGCAGCACAGGCCGAGCGGCTTAGGCGATGGGAACGTACGTATTCGCACACAGTCTGAGGTCAGGGTGTCAGTAGGGTGGCGCCTTCTGAGGCCGCCGGGGGACAGCCCGTCCCAGGCCTCTCCCCAGCCTCTGGGGGGTGTGGGCGATCCGTGGTCTTCTTGACTCGTGGGAGCATCCCCCTGACTCCGAGACCTTCGTCTTCAGGTGGCCTTCTCCCCGGGGCCGCTGGGTCCAAGCTCCCCGCGAGGTCACCGGTCCTACCGGATTAGGGGTCCACCCCGATTCAGAGCCAGGGGAAAGCCGGCTGCGTGTGCAGCCGGACACAGACGGCCCTCGGCATGGGGAATCGAGCCTGGGTGGGTCCCACAGGGGCCTGACGAATGACTTTTCGGAGCGGATCCCCTCCGTCAGCCGTGAAGGGGTCACAAGGTATTTACCGCGGGCCCACGCGCTGCCCTGATGGCTCCGCACAAATTGTCATCTGGTCCTCACGACGTGCTGATGATACGTAGCGTTTTCCACACGGGGGGGGGGGGGGGTTGCGCTCAGGCACACAGTGTGACTTGCCCCGGGTCCCGCAGCAAGGACAGGGCGGAGCTGGGATCTCGAGGCAGGGAGTCTGGTTTTCGGACTGCGCTACCCTGATGCATCTCACGAGCGTGCGTGTGTCAGAAGCGGCTCCCAAGGCTTCAGACAGAGTAAACAGCCTGATGAAGGGACGAGGCTTTAAGTGCATCCTTCCAACTCCTTCCCGGAAGAGTGACTTGAGCCACCGGGTCTAGAGCAGGCTAACGCCATGGTGTCCGTTATGGGAGCCATCGGCCACGTGTGGCCACTGAGCGCTTGAAACAAGGCACGTCTGAACTGGGATGTGCTGTGTCAAATACAGGCTGGATCACGAAGGCCTCACACCCCCCCCCAAAATGTAAAGACGCCTCATTCATAATTCCACACGCTTACCACAAGTTGAGATGACAAGAGTTTGAATCTCTTGGGTTAACTGAAATACCTTATTAAGTTAGTGTCGCTGGTTTCTTTTTACTTTTTTTTACGTGGCAACTGGAGCATGTGACATCATCGGGCGCTCTCTTTCTACTGGACGGCTCTGGCTAAGGAGGCTCCACTTTAACCGGTACCCCGAGAGATTCTGGAGACAGGAATTAGAGGATTGTGCTCATGGAGACCTTGTGCACCAGAACATCCAACTTCGGAACGCTATTTCCCGTAAAGCCTCCTGCGTGCTCAGACTTCTAAACAGAAGCTGAAAATCCCAAAGGCCTCTGGATGCTTTGAAGTTTATGCGCCAAATACAAGGGGAGAACGTGACGTGGGAGGGGTTCTTTCACCTCCGGAACGTGCCAGCTGCCCTCCCCACGAACGCAAGCATGTGGGGCCTCTGCGGAATGACTCTGTTCTGGTCCCCTCCCAGGTAATCAGGAGGCTGTCTCCACCGCAGCTTTCCGCTCCAAGCTGCATGCAACTTTTTGCAATCAGGTTTGCTTCTCCAGGGCTCCTTGTTGGCCAGGGATGGAAATACCGAGAGTTTAACAATCTGGGCGGGTGGCAAATACGGACTCCGAGCGGGATTGCACACAGTTGCCGTATCTGGGTTGTGTGTTGGCTCAGCCCGACTCCCAGGAGGCTGCGAGTGGCATTGCTAGAGCATTGGGACTGTACTGTCTTGCCCGCTGGGGGCCAGAATTCTGAAATCAAGGTGCGGGCAGGGCCGTGCTCCCTGAGCGCTCAGAGGGAGTCCCTCCTGCCTCTTGCAGCTCCTGGGGGCTCCAGGCACCCTTGGCTTGTGGCCACGTCCTTCCAGTCCCTGCCTCCGTGTCCATAGGGCCATCTCCTCTCTGTGTGTTTGTCTCTGTGTCCAAATTTCCCTCTTCTTACAAGGACACCAGACACTGTCTGGTGGGATTTAGGAGCCACTCTAATCCAGGATAGACCCCATCTTAACTTGATCACATCTGCAAAGACTCCATTCCCAAATAAGGTCACATTCATAGATACTGGAGCTTTTGGGGTACTTTTGGGGGGACGCAAGTGAACTCCCACCAGCAGCGAAGCAGAGGGGCCAAGAGTCCTCCGACTTGTATTAATGACAGGATCCTGTCCACCAGAGGCAGAGTGAGGTGGAGGGTGCAGCCTGGGGGAGATGGGCAAAACCCTGCTCACAGGAGCTGATTCCGGAAGAAATATGGGCAATAAACATATACACACGCGTGTGCACGCTGCGGAACATTACAGCTGACAAGGGATTGTAGGCGTGAGAACAGGGTCCCTGTACATGGGGTAGTCAGGATGGGCCCCCTGGAGGAGGTGTCATGTACCAGAGACCCAAGGATGGGAAAGACCTGAGCAGGCAAAGGGCTGAGGGCCTGCTCCCAGTGGGGAACACCTAAAGGAAACATGTGTCCGAGGACAGGACGGAGGCCGGGGCTGGGTGGGGAGGCTGGGCAGATCCTTCGAGCCGACGGTCTCCATGGGAGCCCTGTGTCAATTCCAAGAGCAACAGAAGTCACTGGGCAGTTTTAAGGTAAACGACTTAACCCGACTGATCCTTTTTTTTTTTTTTTTTTTTTTTTAATCACTCTGTGCAACAAAAGAACTAATAAAAACTAAAATCACCCTGGCTGGTTTGTTGACAGGGAACCACAAGGGGCCAAGAGAGGACACGGAATTAGGAAGTGTGCAGGAACGGGTTAACACGGCAGGCCCGAGTCCGCTCTCTAGAAAGAGCCGGAAAGGATTAATATGGCCCTTGGCTGACATCTGGGAACTTGGATTTCTGGAGTGTGATATGGTGATTTATAAGAAGTATATGTGTGTGTGTGTGTGTATGTGTGTGTGTGTGTGTGTATTTGGTCTTTGTCCCCATTCCTGGCACAGAGCTCCTCCTAGAACCTTTGGATTAATTCTTAACAGGGTCCTTTCGGCCACACCTGAGTATGTGCTGACACAGTGACCTCTGGACAGGCCCTGAGGATGGGGGACCCGGAGAACCCATCGTGAGGAGAAGGTTGGAATTTCAGACTCATCCCCTGACCTCCAGGGAGGGGAGAGCGGCTGGAGGCTGAGTCAGTCACCGACGGCCAATGGCTTCGTCAATCGTGCCCGTGTGACAGAGCCACCACAAAAACCCGACAGGCGCTTCTGGGATGGGGAGCTCAGGGAACATCAAAGCTCCGTGCATCTTCCTACAGAACGCACCTGAACATCTCCATCGGGCTGGTCCTGAGTTACATCCTCCTGCAATAAACTGCTGAGCTAGTAAGTGGTGTTCTGGAGTTCCGTGAGCCGCTCTGCCAAATTAATCAAACCCAACGAGGGGGAATCTCCGAACTAGAGCCACTTGCTTGGTCAGAAGCACAGGGGGGGCTTGAAACTGGCATCTGAAGAGGGGGGGCAGTCCTGTGGGATGAGCCCTGACCCCGCGGGCTCGCTCTGAAATTTTACCTCCAGGTAGCCGGGCGCAGAATTCAGTTCAATTCGTGGGATGCCTGGTCAACGCACGGAGAGTTGAGTTATCTGCTTGGGGGGTGGAAAGAACACGGATAGTGGAGGGGCCTTCCCTCCATTCCCTGTAACGGGGGTTCCCTGTGCCTGGACTATTTGCACACATTCTGTGGCTTATGCTGACCACCTGCTTTCCCGCGGGGTGTCGGGAATTTTGGCAGGTGCCGGGCAGAAGGTGCCCACACGACCAGCCCCTAGGAAACACCCTGGGCGCAGAGTCTCTAACGGGCTTCCCTGGTGGATGACGACTTTACACGCATCACCAAATCGTTGCTGGTGGAATTAGGGTTTCCTGTGGGGCTCCCACCGGCCTGTCCCCTTTTGCTGAGGGTGCTTTGTGTCCTTGCACTGGAATAAATCACAGCCGTGAGCATGACGATAACACTGAGTCCTGAGTCCTCCTGGTGATTCGCCGAACCTGGGGGTGGTCTTGGGGCCTCAACACGGGCGGCTGCAGACTTCCTGGAGGGAGAGGTGGCAGCCTGGACCAGCCGAGTCCTTGAATTGAACCGTTCCGGCAGTAGCCTCCTGATTCCGCACAGAGCAGCAACTCCCACGGCAGGCCAGTTCGGCAGCGTTCTAGGCACGGCTCTGGGACCGCCTCAAGCTCTGTATGAAATCCCTTTGTGCCTAAATAACTGTAGGTAGGAGTTTGTGATGGGTCCCAACACCCCGGAGGCCCCACCTCTGGTTTTTGCGGTTTGCCTGGGGGCCGACGAATCAGCCCTACCCACACGTACCTTGCCCTAAACAGCATCTGTGAATCTCAGTTTTGACGGGCCCTTTCTTTATGCAACTATCACAATAAAAAATGTTCATTTGTGGGGCACCTGGGTGGCTCAGTCAGGGAAGCATCCGACTCTTGATTTTGGCTCAGGTGACATTCTCACGGTTCGTGAGTTCAAGCCCCATATCGGGCTCTGTGCTGACAGTGCAGAGCTGGCTTGGGATTCTCTCCCTCTCTCGCTCTGGCCCTCCCCCGCTCACACTGTCTCTGTCTCTCTGTAAATAAATTAGCAAACCTTAAAAAAAATTTTTTAAGTGTTCATTTGTGTCCTCACTATCCCCCCCAAGGGGTCCTGTGTGTCACCCATTATGGGTACTGCGTCCACACTTTGATCACCACTCGAATAAAACAGCACCTTCAATGAATGCCTTCCCCCCCCCCCCCACCACATACCATCAAGTCCAAGAACATCCAAGAGCTCCATCCAAACTTTCCACAGCGTTTCGATGAACATGTCCACCCCCAGCACGAACCTCTCGGTCAGCCTGGTCAGGAACTGCAAAAACAAGAGAGTGGTCACTACCACTGACTGGGACAACGCCCCCTTCTCCTGGTCCAGCCAGGGCCATTGGTTCACGCGTTAGTGGGAAAACAGAGCCGGCCAGGGATGAAGGACACAGCAGGAGTGGCCGAGTAGCCTGGGCACAGACATGAGCTTGGTGGGCCAGGAGCTGGGCGAAATCTGCTCAGGCCTCCACAGGCCGAGGGGGAGACAGGAGGTCCCCACAAAGCTGATCCACTCCACCTCTGACTTCTCCTGAAGCCCTCCTGCCCACGTCAAGCTCAGGGTCTCCTTCTTTTCTCTGCCTGATTTCTCACCTTTATCTTTTATTTATTTTTTTAATGTTTATTTTTGAAGGAGAGAGAGTGTGTGTGAGCATGAATGGGGGAGGGGCAGAGAGCAGGAGACACAGAATCGGAAGTGGGCTCCAGGCTCTGAGCCGTCAGCACAGAGCCTGAGGCGGGGCTCGAACTCACAGACCGCGAGATCATGACCTGAGCCGAAGGCAGACGCTTAACCGACTGCGCCACCCAGGCGCCCCTGGTTTCTCATTTTTAAATGGTGGGAGTTTCCACCCCCTCCCATTCCGCCTGGACGTTGGGTGCTGCCTCCTGGGACAGGAAGGGTGGGAGGGCGGTGGCTCTCACATGTGAGCTGTATCACATCTCCCGGGCATGAGGGAAACACTAGAGACCCATGTCCACCTGGCTTTAAGGACCCAGGTCCTCGGAGGGCTTCCTGATCTCTACAGGTGATTCCAGAGAAAGACCAGGCTAGAGGAACAGCTCTATGAGGTGTAGTCTCATTCATCCGGTTATTCCTTTTAATAAGTGCTATTCTGTACACATGGTATAAAACTCAAAGTTGCAAATGGGAAGTCAGTGAAAACTAACCCTCCCATCTCACTCCCCATAATGCAAATCTCCTTCTGGAGGCTCTGTCGTTATTCTGTGGCTTCCCTTTGATGCACCGGGGGAGTAGCAGCAGACAAACATTCTTCCTCCAAGCGCCAGTGACTATGCACGGTTTTCTCATGTGACACTCTGCCTCAGACCGTACAGAGCTGCCTTGTTCTCCTTAAAGATGTTTGAGCAATCCCCTACCCATGGACACCTAGGCTATTCCCACCCACGCTACTGCAGCAAAGGGGAGTGACACAGGGGAGCCCTGTACTTGTGCACTTTGGCTCACATGCGGGTGATCAATGCCTTGGAGTGAAATGGCTACAGCATTTTATTTTTTATTTTTAAGTTATTTATTTATTTAGAGACAGAGGGCACAAGTGGGGGAGGGTCAGAGAGGGAGAGAGAGAATCTCAAGCAGGCTCTGCGCTGTCAGCGCAGAGCCCGATGTGGGGCTCGAACCCACAAACCATGGGATCGTGACCTGTGCCGAAATCAAGAGTCGGGCACTTAACCGACTGAGCCACCCAGGAGCCCTGGCTACAGCATTTTGAATCAGACCTTACGGCTGGATCACTGCTCCAGGGCGCAAGGGGAAAGACAGCAGGGTTGAATCAGCCACCAGGAGAGACAGGACTCCAGTAACCTCCGTGCTAGATCTGTGGCTTGGCTGAGAGTGCGTGTGGCTGAGTTTAAGGGCCTGGGTTCAAATCCCAGCTCTGTTTCTTACTGCTAGCTACGTAGCCACGGGTGTGTGTGTGTGTGTGTGTGTGTGTGTGTGTGTATGTATACACACATATGATACGTATCAGAGCTCCCGCTAACTAAATGCATGTACTAGTATCTACCCCAACTGGGTATTTTAGCATTAAGCGGGATACTCATATGAAATGCCTCGAGCACATGGTAAATGGTCAAAATTCCCACCGACATCCCATACTCGCACTGAGCCCTGACCCCAGAGCACGTCCTGCAAGGAATCATCCTTTTCTCCTTAGCTCATCACACTAAAGGGATTTGTACACGTAAAGACCACGTGGCCATCAGCTGACGGATGGAGAAACAGAGCCTGGTCCATCCATACAGTGGGATGTTATTTGGCCATAAAACGGAATGAGTTACCATGAGCTTCCACGTCAGTGAACCTTGAAACACGATGCTAAGGGAAAGAAGCCGGACGCAAAAGACCACATATCGTACGATTCCATCTGTATGAAAAGGCCAGAGGAGGCAAACCCACAGAGGCAGAAGGTCGACTGCTGGTTGCCAGGGGCGGTGAGCGCTAAAATTTCTTTTAGCAGTGAGGAAATGTCCTAACATCGACTGTGGTAATGATTGCACAGCCCTGTGGTCGGACTAACGAGGCCCTGAACGGTGCACTTTAAGGGGGTGAATTGTAGAACACGTGAATTATACCTCGATGAAGCTATTTTGAAATGGGAGGGTAAAAAAAATATACAATGGAAGAGCTGGCATTAAAAACAAACACAAAAACAAAAACAGGGATGGGAATGCAAACTGGTGCAGCCACTCTAGACTCTAGAAAACAGCGTGGAGTGTCCTCAAAAAATTAAAAATAGAACTAGTCTACGACCCAGCAATCGCACTACTAGGTATCTCTCCAAGGGAAATAGATGTGCTGTTTTGAAGGGACACACGCACCCCCGTGTTTATAGCGGCACTATCGACGATAGCCAAAGTATGGAAAGAGCCCAAATGGCCATCGATGGATGAATGGATAAAGATGTGATATATATACAATGGAGTATTACTCGGCAATCAAAGAGAATGAAATCTGGCCATTTGCAACTACGTGGACGGAACTGGAGGGTATTATGCTAAGTGAAATTAGAGAAAGACAAAAATCATATGACTTCACTCATATGAGAACAAACAGAGGGTTGCTGGAGGGGTTGTGGGGGGGCGGGGAATGGGCTAAATAAGTAAGACGCATTAAGGAATCTATTCTTGAAATCATTTTTGCACTATATGCTAACTTTGATGCAAATTAAAAAATTTTAAAAAACAAAAAACAAACAACAAAAAGAAAACAGGGTGTCTGGCTGGCTCAGTCGGTAGAGCATGCGACTCTTGATCTTGGGGTCATGAGTTCGAGCCCCACGTTCCGAGTGGAGCCTGCTTAAAAGAAAAAGTAAAATAAAATCAAATGTTTTTAAAAAGGGGGTGCCTGGCTGGCTCAGTCATTTAAGCGTCTGACTCTTGAATTCGGCTCAGGTCACGATCTCATGGTTTGTGGGATCGAGCCCCACGTTGGGCTCTGTGCTGACAGCGCGGAGCCTGCTTGGGATTCTCTCTCTCCCTCTCTCTGCCCCTCCCCTGCTCGATGGCTCTCTCCCAAAATAAATAAATAATCTTTAAAAAAAGAGAAAGAAAGAAAGAAAGAAAGAAAGAAACCCGTACTCATCAGCAGCCAACCCCCATCCCTCCTCCCCAACCTAGGCAACCGCTAATCTGTCTGTCTCCACGGATTTGCCTTTCCTGGACTTTCCGTACAAACGGAATCATACGGCAGGTGACCTCTTGCGTCTGGCTTCTTTCTCTCAAAATAACATTTCCCACGTTGTACCAGGACTCAGTAGTTTATTCCTTTTTATGGTGGCAGATAGCGTTCCACTTGACGGGCACCCCTGTTCTGTGCGTCCTCTCACAGAAAGTATGTTCGATCTGTGCGTGTCTGTCGGTAAAACCAGGTGGCAGGCTTTACCATTTGTTCGGAAGGAGGAAGAAGGAAGGAACGCCAAGGCTTTTGTGAGAAAAGGGTATCGGGTCCTTCGGAGGGCACTGAGCCCCCCAGGAGGGGTGCGAGGAAACAGCTATTTTGGAAGGAAGAGACACGGCCGCTCAACGTTGCTGAACCGCTCTGTGCCTCAGCTTTGTCAGCTGTCAAATGGGGCAAAGACAGGATTGGACGTTCCGACCTGTAAAGGCCTCCGCGTGGTGCTGGCACAGACCGGGAGCCCGGGAGGCCGAAGGCTAAGGACGCTTCTGTCTCAGCGCCTACCCACGCTGGTCTCCAGGTAGGTGCTTGGAGACCTGCCATTCTTAGGAAACCCTCAGGCCCAAACATGACTGGCATTGCTCAGGAGAAGGAACAGACCCGTCCCGGAAACTGGTCTGGGCAGGAGAGGTTGAGAGCAGAGAAGGGCCCACTGCTGGCCTTCTGGCCAGGAGCAGGACAGACTCGCCCTGGGCCCTGGGGGCTGGCGCTGTCGCTTTGGATACAGCCCTGTGACACCTTGGCCCACTTCACCCTGTGAAGGGCATCCGGGAGCCCTCAGGAGGATGAACCTTGTGCCTGCAGATTTCCTATGTCGAAGCCCTAATCGCCAGGCCCTCCGAATGTGACTGGAATTGACGACAGGGCCTTTGGAGAGGTAAGAAACGTAAAACGGGGTCACCAGGCTGAGCCCTCAGCCAACGGGACCTGTTGGGGAGGAGATGGGGACACAGACGCATACAGAGGAAAGACCCCGCGAGGACGCAGGGAGAAGACAGCTGCCCGCACACCATGGACAGACACCAGGGTCTCAGTTTTCCAGTAAATTCCTACTGTTCGAGCTGCCCCGTATGTGGCACTGGGAGGGCGGCCCCAGCCACTAACAGGGGGTCACAACACGGCCAGGAGCCTGGAACGGTTCTCCCACCACCGGCCCGCGGGGGTCCAGAAACACACCCAGCCAAACGTGAACGTGGCCTTGCCTCCAGGGCAAGTCCCAACTTCGCCACAGAAGCCGCTGTGGACATAAAGAGCAGAGGAAGAGGGGAGCCCGGGTGGCGCAGTGGGTAGAGCGTATGACTCTTGATGTCGGCTCAGGTCCTGATCTCACGGTTCGGGAAATGGAGCCCCGCGTCGGGCTCTGCGCTGACAGCGGGGAACCTGCTTGGGATTCTCTGTCTGCCCCCTCCCCCTCAAAATAAATAAATAAGCTTTAAAAAGAATGGCAGAAGGTTGATTCGTGGAAGCAGTGGCTGGTGGGTCCAGGGTTCATTACAGGATTCTGCCTTTGAACCTGTTGGACAATGTTCAGTAGGAAATACGAAAACAAGGGAGATTCAGGTGAATTAACTCGAGGCCGGCGGCCGTCACGGTGGGAGGGACAAAATTACTGAAGCATGGATTTCGTTATCCCTTCTCTT